CCCCCCCCCCCCCCCCGGCGCATCGATGCACGCCGACACATCAACCGCCGCCCTCTGCCCCCGGGACCACCACGTTTTCCTGCCCAACGAGCACACCGCATCTCGGAACATTATCAGGGGCGAGAGGGGGACAAGAAGACAAACCAAGACCCTGGTATAAACCCTCGCACCACTGTGATGCGAATATCTCCCCCTCTGCCTCTCTCTCTCTGCCTCTCTCTCTCTCCCCCTCTCTCCCCACCGCCCCCTAGCTCTTGCTGCTGGTGTTCTCTGCCCGTCCGCCGGCCGGCCAACCACACACCCCGCCAGCGGGTCTCTCCGGCCCTTGGTCGAAAAGTACCCCTGCACCCGCACCAGCGCACTCAAACCCGGCTCTTGGTCCGGCCGAGACGGGGCCTGTGGGTGGGGAGGCCGTCGGTTCTCAAAAGAATGGCGCCCACAATGATATTTCCCCGCCAGCATCAGCCAGTGTGGGAAAGTTGAGGGGCCAAGGCCCCGCCTTGGCAAGGGCGGGCCTGGCCCCAAGCCAAAGCAACACGTGGCTCTGGGTGAAGTGTGACCCCGATTTCACTCTCTCCCGGCGATAATTGGCTTGTCACGGGAAATGTTTCCAGTTAATGTCTTGCAACTGAAACGGCCGCGCATTGCTTTCATTCTTTCTGGCCTCCCCCCGCACCGCCCGGGGCAACCTGGCCATACGTCGACACCCGGGACGACGGGGGACGCGTCCGGGAGACACAGAGGGGGGAGGAGCCAGGTTATTTGCGAGATCTTCCCCTGGTTGTTGGGAAGAGGCAAGGGGCCTCAGGTCCGGGGGCCGCCGTCCGGTGCCCACATCCTCCAAGGTAAGCCGGGCTTTTTTCTTTTTTTTGTTATATCGGCATCCAAGCCCATCTCCCCCGTCCGCGCCAACACCATAGCCCCGCACACTCATTTCCTTTGCCCTCCTTTGCCCTCCTCCACCTCCGGCTCCAGCTCCCACTCGATAGACTCGCGAAGTACCATGCAGGACGCCAACCAGCTGACCGTGTCCGAGCCGGTCCTCCGGAAGTATCCGGCCGATCGAGTGGCCACCAACAATCGTCGCGTGCTGATCATCAATACCGGCGGCACCATCGGCATGGAGCCCAGCGAGACCGGCTCGCTCGGGGTCAAGTCCAACTTCCTGGCCTCCATGATCAATCGCCTGGATGAGCTGAACCATCCGAACATGCCGCTGGTGTCGCTCTGTAGCATGGACCCGCTCATCGACTCGGCCTCCATCTCGCCGGACGGTGCGCTGTCCATCCTTTCGATTCCGGCCAGAGTCCACCCCATCTCGCAGCCTCGCCCTGACGCTCCCTTTCCCTCCGCCTCTTCGCCACCCATCTCTCTCTCCCTCTCTCCCTCTCTCCCTCTCTCCCTCTCCCTCTCTCCC